TCTAGGCACGGGCCTCTTCTTTCTTCAAACATTTCTGAAGGATTGTATTTAGTCTTCTGGGGCTGCTGTAACAAAATGCTATAAACTGGATGGCTTTAGACATCAAACATTTATTTTCTCTCTGGAAAAGTCCAAGATCAAGGTTCTGGCCAATTTGGACTCTGGTGGTGAGAACTCTCTTCCTGGCCTGCAGGTGGCTGCCTTCTCACTATGCTTCACATGGCCTTTCCTTGGTGCATGCAAAGAGAGAAATAGTAATTTTTCAGTGCCTCTTCTTCTTTTTTTAAAAAAAATTTTTTAATTTTATTTATTATTGAGAGACAGAGACAGACATGAGCTGGGGAGGAGCAGACAGAGGGGGAGGCACAGAATCTGAAGCAGGCTCCAGGCTCTGAGCTGTCAGCACAGAGCCCGACGTGGGGCTCGGACCCACGAACCGTGAGATCATGACCTGAGTGGAAGTCAGATGCTTAACCGACTGAGCCACCCAGGTGCCCTTCAGTGCCTCTTCTTTTTTTTCTTTTCTTTTCTTTTTTTTTTTTCTAGGAGAGAGAGAGAGACAGCGTGAGCAGGGGAGGGTCAGAGAGAGAGGGAGTCACAGACTGAAACAGGCTCCAGGCTCTGAGCTGGCAGTCAGCACAGAGCCCGACGCGGGGCTCGAATCCACGAACCGCGAGATCATGACCTAAGCGAAAGTCGGACGCTTAACCGACTAAGCCACCCAGGCGCCCCAGTGCCTCTTCTTATAAAGACACTAATCCCATCAGATCTGGACCCTACTTTTATGACTTCATTTGACCTCAGTTCCTTCCTTAGAGGCCTCATCTCCAAAAACAGCCACATAAGCATTAGAGTTTGAGCATATGAATTTGGAGGGGGATGCGTATATTCAGTCTATAACAAAGCTCAGTCTCCTTTCTCGTCTAACTAAATATATACTTTAAATAAATTTTATATAATATATATGTATATGTATATATATACATACACAAATACATATCCTTTACTGGCTAGGTAACTTTAGTTAAGAAAGCCAGCCAGTCATTCAGTGGGTTGAGTATCTGATTTCCGCTCAGGTCATAATCTCTCCGGGTTTGTGAGTTCAAGTCCAGCGTGCCCTCAGTGTGGAGCCCACTTGGGATCCTTTGTCTTCCTGTCTTCTACTCCCCTTCCATTCATACGTACATGCATACACACACACACTCAAAAATAAACATTAAAGGGGCATCTGGGTGGCTCAGTTGGTTAAGCGTCCGACTTCGGCTCAGGTCATGATCTCACGGTTCGTGGGTTCGAGCCCCGCATCGGGCTCTGTGCTGACAGCCAGCTCAGAGCCTGGATCCTGCTTCAGATTCTGTATCTCTCTCTCTCTCTCTCTCTGACCCTCCCTTGCTCACGCTGTCTCTCTCTCTCAGAAATAAAACATTTTTAAAAATTTTTAAAAAAATAAACAGTAAAAAAATTTTCTTTAGGAAGCCAGCCACCCAAGCAGGAGAAAGAAGAGCCAGTGTAAATGAGAGTGAAATAACTGTCAAAAAGCTAGGTCTTACTAGTCACTCAGTGAAGGGAATGAGAGTCAAAAACTTCTTAAGGGCCTTTAGGATGTGGCCCCATCCATCAAGGCAGTCTTATTTCTTGTTATTCCTGCCCCAGTTCTACCACTTACTAGCTGTAGTGACTTAAACCTCTCTTTGCCTTGATGTCCTCATCTGTAATATAATCCCACAGGGTTATTTTAAGGATGAAATGAGAATGCATGTAAAGAGCTAGAACGGGGCCTGATGTGTAGTAAGTTCTCAAGAAACAATTGCTACATGTTGTTACACTCTCTGATGTGTGTTAGGGAGATGTGTGTTAGGGAGTGTAACTACGTGTAGCCAGCTGGCGCATCTTCACTCCAGATTCCAAGTCCCTGTTCATGTTGCTACTTCTGCACAGAATGCCCTTTCTGGTCTCTACCAGCTACATGCTTTAACATTCTATCCAGGTCTTACTTCCTCCACAAGGCCTTCCCTGTACTAATATGACATTGCCACCCATTCAGTTCATCCTGATTAAGTAGAAATGTTGATTTGGTAGTTAATCATCTTATACCCTTAAGTCTGCTCCTCCATTGAAGAAGCTGTTTCTTAATATTTTGTGTGTTTTTCATGCCTAATACAGATCTACACTGTAGATGTTAAGTAAATCCTGCTTGAAGAAAGGAGGGGGGCGAATGTCTGGATTCGGGGGCTTATAAAGGTCATCTGAACCTTGAAGTAGTGTTTCTCAATTCTGGTTTCCCAGTATGCAGAGAGGTCTGGCCAAGATTACCACAAAATGCTTTGTAAATTCTCAAAACAAGATTACTTTTAATTATACTTTAGGTTTTTTAATGTCGTAAAAATGTTTGTTTATTTTTGAGAGAGAGAGCGAGAGAGCAGGGGAGGGGTAGAGAGAGAGGGAGACACAGAATTCGAGGCAGGCTCCTGTGCTGACAGCTCAGAGCCTGACACAGAGCTCTAACTCACAAACTGAGAGATCATGACCTGAGCCAAATCTGGACCCTTAACTGACTGAGCCACCCAGGTGCCCCAATTATACTTTAGTTTCAAAGCAAACCCAATCTTTCACACAGCACCTTCTGAAGGAGTGTTATGAAATGGAGCAATTATAGGGGCAACACAACCCCCAAAATATTTGGGGATCATGGATAAGTCCTGCTTCTGGTGGAGTGGTGAGGAGACAAGTAGACAGAATAGAAAGCAGAAAAAGCAGTAAGAAAGGGAGTAGATCATAGAAAACATGGACTGAGTGCCTATTCCACATTGGGTACATACACTCATCTTGTCAACAGTCCTCTCAGGGTGGCATCATTATCTGCAGATCTGCCTGACTTTGAGGCCACGCGCTGGGAAAAGATCCACAGCTTGGATTGTGTTTCTGAGATCAGGAAAGGAGGAGGAAGGTGGCAACAAGTACCTGGTATGGATTGAAGGAAATAGTGAGCAGCAGGACATTAAAAGTAAACATATTCTGCTTCCAAATGTTGCCTTTATCAAGCACTACCTGGAACCCTAAGTATGCTTTGAACTTCAGACATTGAACTCAAGTGTCACTAGGTGAGGGAGATGAGATGGCTACTTGGATCCTCACAGAACCTGGCTACAACTATACCTTCGGCAACTGGGAGCCATAGAGCTAAACCAGGCACAAGGGATGCAAAAATGCCAGGCTTGGAAGGGTTTTCACAAGGTGAGGTGTGTGGGCTCCTCACCAGCCCTTGACACCCGTGGCTCAGCTCTAGAAAATTACCAAGCTCTGTACATCATCTCTCACCTCCTAAGATAAGGCTCCTCTCCACAGATCAGTCCACACATCCCTGCAGTATATGTATAGTTCTGTCTCCTTTGGTTTGGAAGAGAACTGATCCTGAATACCACCAGGGGGCGGTGTATAGCAAGGACCCGGTGGACTGTGAGCGCACAGCTGCTACAGGCAAAGGGCTGGCTCCTGAGTGGTACCACCAAACCTCTCCATTCCCCAGACTCCAGACATTCCCCTTCTACTGAGGCCCAACTTCCTCTGAGCCTCCATTCCTAACTCAGGGGCACCCGGAATCCTGCGTGTCTGCTGCATTGGAACTGAAGGTTCCAGGAACACCCAGGCCAGGGAAGCAGAGCGGAAAGAGAGAGAAAACAGGGGAGGGAAAAGAGGATAGTGAAGAAAGCCAGTAGAAACAACTAGGACAGGTGATCAAGAAGGGGACTTGGGTGGGGGTGGGGGGCACCTGGCTGGCAGGTGGAAGAACATGAGACTCTTGATCTCAGGATCACAAATTTCAGCCCAACTTTGGGTGTAGAGATTACTAAAAAAAAAAAAAAAAAAAAGAATAATAATAATAATAAATAAGCTTTTTTTTAAAAAAAGAACGGGGCTCAGGTTGTAATACCTACATGTTCTTGCTTGGAGAGCCTTCCGCTGTCCCCCTAAATACACACACCAGGGCTTGAAGCTCTTCTCTGTCTATAGCCCTTCAGGATAGATAGGTTCCAGCCCTCTGTGCCCATTCTTTCTCTTGACCAAGAGTGTGTGGGAACTATCAGTTATAAGTTAGCTCGGATTCCCGAGGGTCATCAGTTGGTACAGCGACATCCCAGAATAAAACACGGGACCCATCCAGACTCTGACACTAAGGTAGAATGGGAATTGGGCTGATTCATGGCCTTCGGGAAGGGACCAGGATTGCAGGCTAACAATCGTGGGCCAGAATTCTCTGTGTATCAGTAACTCAAGGGCCAGAGACCTTGCTGGAACCCCTATGAACAAGAAAGGATGTGCCTGGACCCTCTCGCTCCTTCAACAACCCTGTCCCCTCCAACAGTCTGTATTGAACCACCGTGGGGGCCAAATGTTGGTTCTCTCAGGGTGAGAGAAGGGACCAGCAGCCTAGAAAAGGGTGTGACTATCTGGTCTCAGTGGCTGATCAATTGGGACACACCCTCTGAGGGGAGGAAGCAGGTGGGAAGACCTGCTGGGCTGGGGTGGGGGGAGTCAGAAGGAAAGTATTGTCTCGGGGCTGGTCCCCTTTCTCCACTCTGGAGGTGAATTACTCTCTGAATAGAGATATTTTCCAATAAGCTCCTGCAAGCCTTCCCTTTATTAGCCCACCTGTAGGAAAATGTCAGACGTCAGATTGGCTGGCTGTGTCAGACAGTGTTAACGCCGTGCCCTGGCCCCTCACCTTGCCAGGCGGGGCAAGCAGATCATTATATTACAATTTATAAATAGAAAATAAAATAAAATAATTGGGTGGGGCCGAGGCACTCGGGAAGAGGTTAAATAGTCCTCGTCAAGGAGTACCCACCATCAACCCCAACTACCTAGGACCAGGGATCTCCTCTAAGTTGGAGGTTGCCCCTAAACCAAGCAGTCCAGTCTCGCCTCCATTTTTTCCCCTTATCCCCTCCTCCTCCCCAGGCAGCATCGTCTGCTGCCCACACCCCCAGATCTCAGCCCGAACGCCCCGGTTTCAGCAGGCGCCTCTTGGTTTCCGTGTCCGCCGCGCTCAGCCCAGCAGCTCCTCCGCCAAGCGGTAGAGGAACCGAGAGTACCAGTGCATGCCCGTCGGCTGGACGGCCCCACCCGGAAGCAGCGCCCCCAACGCGTGCAGCAGGCGCAGAGGAGCGAAGGCGCGGTGCGCCCACTGATGACTCTCCAGGACCGCGTAGCACGAGGCCAGGACGTCGTTGACCAGCAGCGTCCCGTGTGCGGTGAGCGGCGCGAACACGCCCACTGCTTCCTCCCGCGCCACGCGCGCCACGCGCGCCGGCCGCAGCGCGTCCCCGCCCGGCGCCAGCACCGAGTCCCCCGCCCGCAGCCGGCGCGCGAACACCGGTGCAAAGTCGCCTGGTGCGGGCGCTGGCCCTCGAGCGGCGAACACCAGGTGCCAGGGCGTGAGCAACAGCTTGCGCGGGGGCCGCTCGGTCTCCACAGCCACGAAAGAGGCCCGGCGCTGCAAGTCCCGGTCCAGGAAGAGCAGCACGGGCGTGGGCACCACCCGGCCTGCCGCGTCCGCCGCCAGCACCCAGTCTCCGCGGTGCAGTTCCCGCAGGCCCTTCCGCTCTCCGCTCCGCAGGCGCACGGTGGCATTTCCCGGAAAGCAGCCGCCTGCCCTGACCGCCAGTGAGTTATCTGCAGGGAACATGCACAGAGATGATTGAATCAAGACCAGCGGTTCCAGGATGTACAGATTCTTAAAGACGTGGGTCAAGCCCAGCGCAGACCTCGCCAGTCCTGGGACAGCTTGTTAATTCCCCATGCATCTGGCCCCAACCTGGGCAGAAACGGAAGGATGTTACAACCCTAACTCCCTCTTGGTCTCCCCATAGGGTCGCACCGGAAATGTGCAGCCTCAGTTTCCCCGGCAGCAGCCCCCTTTGTTTGGACCACACCCCCACCCCCCTACTGTACCGGCTTTGACCGACACGTGGACGTGGTTGCGGGACTCATAGTAGACCCAGTCGAAGCCGGCTTCCACCGCCAGCCGCGCCAGCAACCCATACTTGTTGCGGTCGCGGTCGGACGTGGTGATGTCCAAGGCGCGACCTTCGTAGTGGAGCGAGTCCTGAGCATGGTGGCCGTCTTCGTCCCAGCCCTCGGTCACCCGTAGGCGCACTCCGGGCCACATGTTCATCACGGCGATGGCCAGCGCGTTCACCCGCTCCTTACAGCGCTGGCAGGGAATAAAGGAGTCAGTCACCTCACTACCACGCTCACCGGAGGTGCAAAAGGGACCCGGACAGGAGGGTCGATTCTTGGTTTTCCCGGCCCCACACCCCTCCCTCCCAGCTTTTGGGTGTCCCGCAGAAGTGAGAATCAGAATAGATGCAGTCGCCAGTATGCACTCTCTTTCCAGAGCGTTGTGGGAGAACTGTGGGGTCCTCGTAAGAGACTGATAGGGGGTGCCTCTACCTAGCCTTCCCCCCACTTTCCACGCCCGCCCCTCACTCGTTATGGGACCTCGGCTCAACCTGGGAGAGGGCAAGAGTTGAGAGGGCGGGTGGAAGTTCGGTCAGGGAGGGGTTGAGCAGCCTGACTCTCGGAGAGGAGCCCCTGTTTGAGCCTGGCCCCCGCCCCAAGCCCCGGCTGCCCTCCCTCCGCCTGATTCATCTTTTGTTTCGTTGCCTTCCCTGGCACCGGGCATCGCTTCCTTCCTTCCTTCCTCCTCCTCCTTTCGGCCCCTAGCATTAACCCCTTCGTGGTGCTAGTGCCCCCCACAGAGGTGCCCAGGCGGAGCCGCGGGGGATCAAGGCTGCTGGAAGAAGGGTTTGGGTGGCGGGGGCTGCGCGAAGTACAATGGCCATTCTCCGGGATGACTTAACCGAGCGAGAATCCCGGGCCGAGGCCGGGGACGCGCCGGGAGAAGCGGACTCAGCAGCTCCATCGACAAAGGCGCTTTTCAGCCGCCCCGGCTCCGGGAGAGGAAAGGGCAGAAAGCCGCGCCCCCCGTCCCTGCTCCCGCCCGCCGGGCCCCCTCCCCCAGCGCAACCAGCCCTCCCAATTCCAACTCAGGCTCTGCCAGCCCCGAGAGCCCCCGTCTTTCCATCTCGGTTCCAGATGCAGCCCAGAAGGCGTGGGAGTAGCACCTGAGATTAACAGGAGCTGCCCTTGCGCGGAACTGGGGGGCCCCCTGCAGGGTGGGAGTGGAGAGGAGGAAAAGCATCAGTGGCTGGAAGCCTGCGCCAGGGGGAGTGAGACCACGGTTATCTGGGCGGCTCTAGTCTGGGAGCCGGAGACCTTGGCACGCACCATAGCACGGACAGGCGGGAGGAGGCTCGGAGAGGACAGTTTCCTTTTCTTCTCCCCGCTCCGACCTCTCACCTCGGACTTGGTTTTCTCCTAAGTGCCAGAGGGGCACTTTCCCCCTTCCTTTCTTGCCGAGTTTTCTACACCTCCGCAGGGTTGGAGAGCAGGGGAGGGGAAGACAGGAAAAGTGGTAACTCCTTCCAACTTTTTGTCGTTCTGTCCCCTAAGGAGGCCCGGAGGCCTTGACCTGCGGGGGCAGCAGCCCAGTGCAGAGCCAACTCAATGGAGGCCTTTTGCAGCCAGGGTGTGGGAGATAAGCAGGACTGAGGGGTTCCCAGGCCTCTCAGAGCCCCTCCTGGGCCTGTCCCTTGTTCTGGCCCCTCTGCTGCAGGTGGCAGCCAGAGGAACAGGTCACAATATTCCATGACCAAGGAAGGGGAAGCAGTGTCCCTTTCCCAATCTCTGAGTAGTAGTAGAAGGAATTCTTTCTCCCCTGGACAGGTTTTCCTAACAAAGTAACCTGGAAAACTATGGCAATTAATCGGAGGAAATCCGTACCCCTCCCTCTCCCCCCCCCCACCTCCCCACTCCATACACAATTAGGTGGTGTAATGGAAAGTGTATAGGGCTTAGAATCAGGAGTCCTGAATTTTAGTCCCAGCCATGCCACTAATTAGTTTCAAGACTTTGATTAAATCGCTTTTCCTCTTGGGGCCCAGCTCTCAGCTGCAAAATTGAGGCGTGGAGGTAGAAGACTGTGACTTCCAAGTTTTTTCCAGTTCTGACATTTAAGATCACTGGCCAGAGGTGGTCCTTCACTCCTAAGGTATTGCTCACCTCATCCTAGGTGAGTTAGATTCCAGTCTGCAGCAGATGCTTGGTATGTAGTAGTTGAATTCTTTAATTCCAAGGAAAACCCCTGAGCTAAGCTGATCTTGAGGGATGCCTGGAACCCTTTGATTCTCAGGTGGGCCCATCTGTTCTTCCCATTGAGGACTACTTTTAACCCAGGACAGCCATTTAGACTCCAGAATAGCCTTGCCTGGGTTCTAGGATGCGCCCCCCCCCCCCCATGATGAAGACAATTCCTACCCAGCACCTTCTCAGGTAGATGGCCTGGTGACCTAACCCTTGCCCACCCCTTCCTCAGTCTCCTTCAATCTCTTTAGCCCACAGATCTTTTCCACAATCAGGTCAGGAGCCAGGCAAAGGGTAGAGCTTTCTGTCTGCTGCCTAGCCAGCTCCTGGCCCCCAGCTCACCCCAGCCCTTCCTGCCTGGCTCGGTAGCTGACCCCCGGTCCACGCCTCAGCCATTTCCCGTCTCGCCTGCCGCCATCCTCCTTTCCCCGCCCTCACTGTCTCTCCCAGCTTCACTCTCACTAGTCCCTCCTCCCTTCCCCACTCCAGCCTCTCCCTATCGGGATCCCTCCAGATCACTTAGTCCAGTGAGCAAAGGTGGGGGTTTTTTTGGGGGGAGGGGGGGGTGGAATGGTGGGGAGAGATTTTGAGTTTAAGGTCTCTATAGATGAAGCCCAGCTCCCCCTCCGGGGCTGCCACAGGAGCTGGCAGTGCCCTGGTGCAGGTGAGCAGAGATCCTCCTTACCTCGGTCATCAGGCGGTCTGCACCACTGTTCTCCTCATCCTTGAAGATGATGTCCGGGTTGTAGTTGGGTACCAGGTCCCGGAAGCGCTCGGAGCCCCTTGCCACTCTCCCCTCTGCGGGCCCACTGGCGCCTAGGGTCCGCTCGGGCATGCTGGGCACAAATTGCTTGTAGAGCAACGGCACGAGCTGCTTGCGCACGTAGCGGCGCCGGCCAACCGGTCCCCGGCCCGGCCCGCAGCTCTGGGCGGGCAGCGCCAGAAGTGCCAAGAAGCACAGGGGCACCAGCCTGGCCGGCAGCGCCATGGATGCAGAGCACTCAGGCCAAAGAGAGCGTTCTTGTCCTCACTAGCTCGCCCGTCAGTTGGGCATTTCCCTAGGCACCAGAGAGCCCAGCAGGCAGAGCTGCTCCCAGAGTGCCCTAGAGCTCTTGTGGCTCTGCGCACCTGGCTGCCGCTAGCTCTGCCTACATGCCCCAGGGGGTCTGGAACCTGCTACTGAAGGGCCATCATAGCAGGGAAGGGGGGTCGTGGGTGAGTGCCAGCCCAGCCTGGCTCTACTGCCTGGCTCCTGCGCTGCCAGAACTCCCGGGCTCCGCCTTAAGTGGCCCCCGGCCCCGCCCCCCGCCCTTCTCCCAGGACCGTCCCTCCTCCTCCCACCGGGGCGGGGGCTCTAGCCAGTCACCGCTGGCCCATTGAAGTGTGTCCCATCCTGGAAACCGGGCAGGCACCTGTCTAAGAAATCCTAGTAGCTTTTCAGTCCGTAGCTGCCTGGATAAGCATCCTTCTACTTCCAAACTTTAGCTTGGCACCGCACCACCCTCCTCTGATACTTGAACTGGATCTTTACTCTCCCAAAGTCTATCCTAGCAGGCCATTGTCCTCTGCTATCTTCCAGGAAGTATGGGTTCCAGTTTCTACCCAAGGCCAGCCAAGCCCTTTGGGCATACAACCAGAGCCTTTCTTCTCAGTGGTCCTCCCCAAACCTCCCCCACTTTTCATCTCTCCTGGGCAGTAACCAGGACTGGAAAGGGTGGGTACCAGGGGACCATTTTCTCTGGTAACTCTGCAGCCTTTTTCTGAGTGCTTCCCCCAGAAACAGGGACAGAGTTTTGTAGTTACAATCTAGCTCTGGACTTCAAACTTCCGCCCTGTCAGGCCCCTAAAGGCTGCTTCTCTTCTAATGCATGACATGTCAATTGGAAGTTGCTGGAGGGTAAAGTGGGTACTTAAAGTTACAGTCTCTAGTAGGCTAATGGATGCTTCCCTTTACCTTCCACCTAGGTATCTCTCTATAGCTTTCTCCCTCTCTGGACCCCCTGGGGCTCTGCTTCCAGCCCTTCAGGTTCATCTCAGAGGCTTTGAGCCTACAACACTTCACCCACCCATCTATTATCGGTTAGAAATCACTGTCTCTAAGAAGCCTTCCCTGATATCCTGACACTGCCTACCTGTTTCCCTGAGAACCAGTGATTAACTGTCAACCATCACCGTATGTATTAGAATTATGTCACCCTTACTAGACAAAGCAATTCTTAAGTACAAAACTGTTTACCATGAATCCCCATGGCTAAGCACCTGGCCTATAGTAGGATGGGCTCAGCAAATATTTGTGGCATCTACACTTTGTGTGTGTGTATTCTCTACTCCCCTCTCCCTCAGCTCCATGGCTAGCACTTACTGCAACTCCATGTACGTTAGAAAAAAGTGTTCCTTCCTCAAGACACCTGACTGCCATGTGCAAGAAAACAGTTGTCATCACATAAAGACTATGAGGTGAATGGTGTACCTGGAAGTTGCACAAAGCACAATCTGGATCAACCTAAGCAGAAACTTTGTCCCTACCCCCCAACGCATCATGGGCTTTGCATCATATTCTAGGCACTGGTAGCCTCCAGAAAGACGGGAGTTACATTCTTTTCTGAGAACTACAAATTCTGGTCAGTCAGCCACTTCCTTTACTTTACATCCAAGTTAAGTCAGTGGGACAGGGCTGAGGACATGTGTGTAGAGGGGGAAATTATCCTATTTCCACACTCATGCTCACTTACTCCCAATAACCAAGGTACAGGAACAAACCATGAAAACAAGGAAGCGTCAAGGGACCAGTCCGCTTTAAGCAAGGCTAAGGGAGGAGGAGCTTCCCAATGCTTAACTGTATGACCTAACACTAGACTCAAGTCCCTAAAAGATAACTAAGAATGCAGAAGGAAGAAGAAAGGAAAGGATGGTGGGTAGGATACCTTTGTTTTTCTCAGTTGGTAGACTCAGAACTGTTGGGAATAAGATTGTTCAATAGACACAGAGACAGGCGATTTAAAAAACCAAAGCAAACCCTGGAATCAACTTTATTGCTGATGGTTGTGGTCTCTTCTTCCCTATGCCCTCATCTCTCTGATGGTCCAAAGCCCCTCCAGGATAGCACAGTGCTTAGGCTCTGCTGGGCCAGAGTCAAAGGAGACAATCTGCCTCCCAAGTCTGCCCTCAACTCAGTCCCTCCCCTGTCCCCACCCTACCCTATTGCACATCAAATCATGTAAACATGGCTACGGGCATGGCCCTGAACAGCAGTGAGGCAGATTGATGTGTAAACAGATTTGGGACCAGGAGCCAGACCCAGTCACTCAGCCCCACCCCATGCTGAGGCCCACAGTTAAATCTGAAAAAGCAGGGGGGCCTGGTCCCAAACTCTGGCTCAGATTATGCAACAGTGCAGACAGCTCAGCTCCCCTCTACCACCCACCCTCTAGGGATTCCAGGTCCTGAGGTCCACCCACTCCTGGGCGCCCCTCCAGGCCTGGCAGCAGATGGCAGTGTCCAGTTTTTTCCCTCCCACCCTTAGCTGGACGTCACTGGTGCTGGGTCTTCCTAGATGCCCGGGGGAAACCGGAGACAGGCAATGGCAATCTGTCCAGCCCTGGAGAAGAGGGAGAGTGGGCAGTCAAAAGTGGGGCATAGGTCCAGTTTTGGGGATAAGGCAACCAAGCCACAGAACGTGTGTATGAGGCATGTTACAAACGAAGCAGAGAGCAGGCCATCTCTCCCACATGAATGATCATGGTTCCAGAGGGCCCCACCTCACAACCACCTCACTAGCCTGCCCCCACACTCCAGCTCACCAAAGGCCCGGATCAGCTCTGCCCGCACAGCTGCGGTAAACGTCTTCACCAGACAGAGAGTGGTGAGGCCCGCGAAGGCTGCATTGTAGAGGAACACGATGTAGAAATTGCCCAGCCAGTTGAAACGTCCAAAGTCACCCAGCAGGTCAAAGCGAGTGAGCCCTAAAGTACAAAGGCCAGGATGGGAGTGGGCTCCCCAGTTCCTCCCTGGCTCAGAGCCCAGCTTTCTGCTGCCTCCTGGTGGCCACGTCTCAACACTGCAGTTGACAGGCTGGTCTCCCCTTTGCATTAATTATTCTCACTCCCAACTTGTCTCAAGGGAATTCATGGATGTTGAAGAAATCATCAGCAGCTAGGCTTGCTCCAATCTCCCTTCCAGAGTTTGGCATCTTCTCTTCCAGTGGGGGACCCCTCTGGCTCTACATGTCCCTAGGGGCTCGCTGGGCCTCCTACTTGTTCCTGGGCCAGGAACCTAAAAGGTGGTCACTCAGTGCTTTTTTAGTGGACAGAGCAGTGTGGAGGCTAAGAGCTCAGACGCTGATCAGGCTGCTTTGGTTCATATCCAAACTCCACCCCTAGCTAATTGTGTGATCTGCAGCAGATTCTTTAAATTTCTGTGCCTTGGTGTCCTTAACTATCAGGTAGAGAAAACAATGGGACTGTGAGAATGAAATGAGACAACACACCTAAAGCACTCTATGTGCCAGGTGCTATTCAAACACTTCATGAGCCGTAACCATCATAATAATGTCATCATAAGTCCCAATATTGGGGCCCTCCCCCACCTAAAAACATACTCTTACCTGCATCCAACCCAGGTAAGGAATTAACTAGTGGACCCACAAGCCTAGTGTCCTACTAAATCCCCATGGCATTAGTAGTACAAATGGTGTAATGGAGACTGTATGAACTGAAGAACCAGACAGAACTGATGTAAACACTAAATCATTTAGGAGACATGGATAATGGTATGATAGATTGGGGGGGTGTGTGTGGAATGACCTATGCAACTCCCATGCTACCCTTGGGGGAACTATTATACTTCTGAACATTTTCTACCAGGTAATTCTAGATCATAGCTCTAAGGATGGGAGAAGGACTGAGTGTATTATTTGGTGCCCCAGTGTATGGGAAAAGCACTGGACTGGCGTTTAAGAAACAAGGGTTCTTGGAGCCTCTAGGTGGCTCAGTCGGTTAAGCATCTGACTTCAGCTCAGGTCATGATCTTGTGGTTCATGTGTTTTGAGTCCCGCGTTGGGCTCTGTGCTGAAAGCTCAGAGCCTGGAGCCTGCTTCAGATCCTATGTCTCCCTCTCTCTGAACTACCCCACTCATGCTCTGTCTTTCTCTCAAAAATAAGTAAACATTAAAAATAAATAAATAAAAAGAGACAAGGGTTCTAGCCTGACTTGGCCTTGCTTCAAACTAGTTGTCTATAAGTCAATTTAGCCTCTCCATTTGTCTTTATAAAATGAGAATGTTTATTAGCGGATCCAGCCCAAAGGAAGATTTGGGGGAAAAGTAGTGCTTCCCCACCAAAACATGGAAGTAAATGGGAGAGGCTATGGGATGTAGCTAATAGGAGAAGTATGAACTCTGAAGCAACACTATTCTGGAGCTCAACACAGGCATTTTACAGGGACTCAATTCTTCCATCTGTATAATCGAGGTAATACCTCCTCAAAGGTTTGCTGTATAAAAGTATAAGTTTAGCACCAGTAGGCTGTCAGAAAAAGCCAATTAACTCTCTTACCTCCTTTTCCTACTTACCCAGGGTTCGAGAAAAGACAGGAAGTGCTGAGCTCAGGACCAGGAGACAGACACAGTTCCCAATTATCTGGGTGGGAATAAGGAAAAGGGGAGGGTAGGGTAGCAGAGCTGCCATCACCGAGCACCCATGCATGCCCCCAGGAGGCTTCCTCTATTCGCTGCCCCCAGCTACCTGCGTCATGGCTGTGTCATGCCATCTGGGCCGCAGGCTCCGGAAGAGTGGAGAGCTGTAGAATCCCACCACTGAGGATACCATCAGGTAACTGCCACAGGGTTAAGGAAGAACTGGCCAGCTCTCAGGGGTTAGAGTCATCTCAAAGGGAATGGACCTCTCCCCCAACCCTCCTTTCAAATAAAATCTTCTTTCTGAACCCCAGGTTGGTGAAGACTTGCCCCCATCCCCGTCATTTCCACCACAC